CTGGGTTTTTCATTTTGTTTTGTTTTGCCTGTGTGTGTGTGTGTACACGCGTGCGCGCGTGCTGGAGCATCTTAATAACATAATGTATGCAAAACATCTAAAGGAGGCTTGGTATACAGCTGGCACTCAATAACTATTAGTGCTCCTCCCTCGACCACAGTCCATCCTGCTCCAAGGCTGGCACACTCACAAGCGCTGGATCTACTCTCCTGCCTTGGATTTCACTCAAACCCGACTTTCAATGGGAAAATGAATAATTGCAAAAAATTGCTTATTTCCAAACACACTAAGACTTTCTTTTCAAGAACAACAGCTCACAGTGGAGCATTTTCATGTGCCAGGCCCCAAAAGCAGTTCACATGTATTAGTACATTTCATCCTCACATGACCCTCTGCGGGAGCCCGGATTTTCAGAGGAGCAGAGCAGAAGGACTTGCCCAAGGTCAAGGAGATGGAAAAGAGCAGAGCCTGACCTGAACCCAGCTGTGTCAGACGCAAGAACACTTAACGGTCCCTTTCCTGGGCGCTGGGGCCTGGCACACATTTCCTACGACTTTTCCTCCTGCTCCCACGCCTTTTCCTTTGAACTTGGGTTTTGCTGGGGTTAAGTTTATGTTTTACTTTTAGTTTTCCCCAAGGTATCTTCTTCTTGGTTCTGATAGATGGGGACCAGGGTCCACAGAAATGGGGGAAATGCAAAGAAAACAGGGAGCATTCTCCTAAGTGACAAGACAGGGCAGTGTTCACCAAGAGACAGAGAGGAGGTCAGCCCTTATACCACCCACACTGTGCAGTCCAATGATGTGGGCACCGTTCATTTTTGTCTTTGTGCATGCAGATTTATGGCCCCACTGACTATAAATAGCTCCGGGTGAGAGGGCAGCTTCTGACTACAGAGATATTCTTAAGGATATTTTGTTTTCTGGGGAAACACACACACACACACACACACACACACGGGCACGCACGCGTGCACAATGTCAGATATCTGCTCCAGCTCAAAACAGCAAATTTCCTTTCCTATTAAGACCATGGATCAAAGTTGGACAATACCCAGCAAACAGGGACTAATGCCTTGGCTTCTTATTTGCAAAACAGCAAATATTTTGTCACGTAAACTTTGAGAAGATTAAAAAGAAAAAGAATTGATAAATGAGAGAGAATATCTAGAGTGTGATGAGACTGGAAGGAAGGCAAATGCACATATACAATTATATATATGCACCTATGTGTCTAATAATTTCTACTTTTATTTACCTGTTCTAATTTAACATTTTCCAGTATATGATTAAGCAGATGGCAACATTTGCAATAAGATAAATATTGTTCAATGATGCGTATTTCTGTATACAAAGTGTAATACGTTGCTCAAACAAAATAAAACCCTATTCAGAGTGTGAAAAAAAGAAAACCCAACCATCAATAAAATACCCTCTGTTCTCTCTGGTCTCAAAACATTTGGATAGAAAGAGAAGCCACACCTCCCAGGCTGTTAGAACCAGAGGTGATCTGGATACAGTGAACCAATTTTTCAGAGTCACTGCTGACGTCTGAAAAGGTCCTGAGTTATCTGAGTAATGTGAAGTATGAGGAATTTCTGCCAAAAAATCAACAGTTCCAAGGGGTCAGACGATACAAAAACCCCACTCCGCATTAAAGATGCATGTGTATGGAAGGGCGATTAAAAATTCGGCTCCTTGAATGAAACTTACTGGGTAGCACTTTATCTAAGGGCACAAGGAATAAACGGGACTTCAAGAGGATCGCTGGAAGCGAAGGGAAAGAAAATAAACGTTCGTTACGTGAACACACACAGCTCTCTTTCATTTGTCCCCAATCCATCCAGAACCTGGAGTGTGATCTTTTTGACACTCTCCCCAGTGTGTTTCCTCCCTTTATAAGTGAGCCCATCTGTTTCTTAAATTCTGAGATGACAGTCAAATCCACAGCTTACAGGAGACCCAGAGAAGGTCTCGGTGCCTCAGCCACAACTCTGCTCCAATCCACCCGATAATTCTAATATTTAAGAGCTCTGGAAGAGGCGGAGAGGGAAAAGGAGCTTACAAATCTTTTATAGATATGCCCATCTTGTCACCGTCCTCATGCTGTCTCTGACTCGGCTTGAGAAACTGTGTGTTTCTTCTTGGCTCCTTAAAATGCACCAAAAACAATCAGGTCCCTCCACTCGGGCGCTGCTCCCCAGACATAAAAGGTGGGAAGTGCAGAGGCTCTGGGACGGTGGGCACAAGGAAGCAGCAAGGTCTTGCTTAGAAAATGCTCTGGACACAGTGCCTGCCGGACACTCTTTTGGGACACAGCCACCAGCACCACCACCGCCACCAACGGGGCCACAGACTCTCTCTGCCTGCAAGAATTGCACCTGCCCCACCCCACCCCGCCCCCACCCTCCAGAGAGCACAGAGATGAAGCATCATGTCCCAAGCATGTGTCTCACCAGCTCTTTAAGAGAGCCATCTGGAAAATCACAGGGATTTTTTTTTTTAAACATCCCACTCCTGAATCTATCTCCAAGGCATCACGCTAGCAGCCCCAATAGGGTCTGCCGACAAACCACATGTTGCAAGGGTCTGAGTGGCTTGCGAAAAGGTCTGGTCCTCTCCCAGCCTGCAGCCCAAGCTCAGGCGTGTCGTTGGACTTTGGGAACAGCCTGCCCCCTTCTGGTCTCCTTGAGCTCCATGGAAGGGCAGGGGCTGGGTGGGCACGGCTAGAGGAGGACCGACCCCAGGACCCCTCCAGCATGTCTGTGCTGTGATTTCAGGATGTAGCAGGGCATGGGGGTAGATGTGGGGCAGGGAAAAGAGAGGAGACAGAGCAGATAAAATAAAATACAAATCCAGGAGACATAACAATTCACAACAGTGCAGTAGACACCCTCAGAGAAAGGAGGACCAAAAAACAAAAAACAAAAAACAAAAAAAACCCAACCAACCAAACAAACAAAAAATCTATGTCTATAACAGAAGGTGAAGAAATTGACACCCGGGGAGATGCGGGTAGGGGGATGGTAATTAAGCCTGCAGATGAAAGCAGAGTTTCAAAAAGCAGTGCAACTCTGCTGCTGGAACTGACATGCCAAAAGAAATAAAAAAAGGAAATGGCAAGCTCCCACCTACCTTCCCAACTGCAAACCATTCTGCGGCTGAGCTGAGAGGAGAGAGAATAGGATACTGAACTGAGCACACACAGGCAGGGTGCGGATGAAGTACCGAAAACGTCCAGGGCGCAGGAAGAAATCCAGGCCTCCTTCCTTCTCTCCGCTTATTTCAACAGGTGGTCTTTGCACCCAAAGATACACCTCCTGGTGCCTGTCAACCCCAGACGCAAAGGGTACAGGAAGCCTCATGCCACTGTGTTCAGCCTACATGTTCCCACTCTGGGCCAGCAGGGCACATCCTGAACCCCCTCGCACTGCACCTCCCAGTAGGGCTCCAAAACCAGAACGAACCTCGAATCGCATTTCTGCCCAAACACATCACAATTCACCCCAGGAGTTTAAAGGCAGTGCTTGGGAGTACCCTTCTCTAGAACTAAAAGGCCACAGGACATTGGGAATGTTCTGGCTCTCCATCAGGAATCTCCCTCCACACCCCTTCCCACAAACAAGGGAAAGACATCCACCTGCTACCCACACAGACAAGCCAGCAACGTGAAATGCCATCATGTCACCTCCTGGGGCACAAAGAGCCGCACTCCAGCAAAGAGGGTCACCGCTGATTCCAAGGAAGTTTAACAGATCAGAAAGCATCACGCTGTGTCTGAAGGCACTCTTCGGTGAGGGCTCCCAGAGCGACAAACGACACAGACATGCATTCAGTGCCTAAGGATCCTGAAACTAACCCCTGGCATCTGATGTCCCCCCCAAGAGCTAGGAGAACCCCTGTAGGCAAATGGCATGAGGAAGATAGAGACAGACACACTGCACGCCGTTATTCCTTAGGACAGACGCTCATGCCCACGGGGCACAGAGAGCCTGGCCCAGAGTTGGGGACTCTGACCCCCTGTCCTGCGTGTCCTAGCTCAGTGGGCTCAGCAAGGCAGCCCAGAGAAGGTGTGAAAGCCATCCCTGGAGAAGTTGGGGACAGGACAGGAAGACACCTAGATGGCCCCAGAAGATGGACGGAGAAACCAGTGTCAGAGCTCAGACTGTTCACACCCAAGGAAGGCAAAGAAAACCCAGAAGAGCCGAAGTCGTGATGATGTGGTCACACAGCTGGTGACATTGACTGGGTACACGCAAGACGGAGAGCCAGGGACAGCCATCTAGGAGAAGGGGCCATGCCCTGACCCTGGACAGCTGGGTGAGGAAAGTCAGAGAGGGCACCGGGAGAGAACAAGGTTAGAGACGGAGAAGGTAGAGACATGAGCAGCGCAGACAGCCAGAGATGGCAGACAGGAGACCTAAAGTAAGACCAGGCGCCCAATCCTGAATCTTGACTCAGGGAGTCGGCTGGGGATTTGGGACACCGATCCCAGACCCCATCTCAGGCCCGGGAAAGACAAGGAGACGGCAAGCAGGGAACTGAGTTGTCTGCACTCAGCTCAGCAAAAACCAAAGAGATGCTGTGAGCACCACCCATGAGCAGCGGCTGAGGATCCCGGGGACGATCCACGCACTCAGACAGTGGGCAAGGCACCAACACCCACATGCATAGTGCAAGTCGGGGAAGAGTGACGGGGAAGAGGAACCCGGCTAGGCTCCGGTAACCCCCAAAGCGCCTCCTCCGGAGATAACTTCCCCACACCCCAAGGGGGCAGTCCACAGACTCGGGATGGGGCAGCCAACTGGCCCCCTCCGAGCCTCGGCACGGACCCCGCCCCGGCTTCCAGGGAAAGAGATAGGGAACCGGCAGGCTTGGGAAGTCCCAGTCTGATGCCCGGGGTTCAGGGGCTGGGGGGGGGCGTCGGGTCAGGGCTGCCTCTTCCTCACCCTCCTTCTCTCCCTCCCTCCCTCCGGGACGCGAGCCGAAAGGGCATCTTACCAGCGCCCGCGCGGGCAGTGCCCCCCGGCTGGCCGGTTGCTGCGCTCGGGGTTCTCCGGGGCCGCCTCCCCGCGCCCGCGCCGGGGTCCCCCGTCCTCCTCCGCCGCCTCGGGCTGCAGCCGGCCCGGCTGGCAGGTCCCGGCGCTCCCGGCGCGGGGCCGGGGCCGGGGGCGGTTGCTCCGCGCCGCCGGCCGCTGCGCCCCCGCGGCGCTCCCCGGCCCCGGAGTCGAGGCTGCTGAAATTCCACACGACCAGCGTCTGCAGCAGCAGCACGGTGAGCGCCGCGAGCAGCGCCGAGTGCGAGCGCCGGGCCAGCCTCCGGGCGCACGGCGCCGCCACCATCTTCGGAGCGCGGCGGGCGAGCGGGGCGCGGGGACCCCGGGCGCTCCGGGCCGCCCCCGCGCTCCCCGCGGCTC